GAAGTTAAAAATCTCAACAAAATATCCGCTGTCCATCTATCAAAATCAAACAAACAAAATGATAATATCAAGTGCTGATGAAGATACAAAACAGCTGTGACATTTATTCACAGCCTAGAAAAAATGAAAAACATTCAAACCACATTTTAAAATGAGTTTGCAGTGCAATCACCAAGCTGCCTAGAAATTCCAAGAGAAATGAAAACACATTAATGTTAAAAACCTGTTTGTGAATGTTCACAGCATGTTTACTGCACTGCTCCTTTTTTGGCTTGAAGGAAAAGGCCAAAGTCCAGGGGCAAAAAGAGATGGAGGTTTGCTGGGGGCTGGGGTGGAGAAGAAAGGTGACTACCCAGGAGCAGAGGAGCTTCTGAGGCTGATGGAAATGCATTATATCTCCATTGTGCCACATTTACACTCTGTACAATGCACAAGGATGGTACATTTGTCAAAACTCACTTGAAAGGGTGAATTTCACCCTATGCAGTCACACTTTAATAAAGCCAGCTTTTAAACAAAGTAGATGATTGTAAAAATGTCTGTCAATCAGCCATTCCTTTATTTCATTAATTCAATAATATTCCCCTTTACTCCAATTAATACAGCAAGGACTCATTTTTATTAACCTTGCTCTTCAGGCCTGCAGATGTGTGCAACATCTAATACCCAGATGCTTTCTTTTTCACTTACGCTGTTGCCAGTGCTAACTAGAGAGTTTAGGTTCTTCCCTGCCTGACTCTGGCCACTCTTGTGATCAAGTGTACACTGGGTCATGAGGACTAGGCAGGTGAGTGGGGGAAGAGAAGCCTGCATAAGTACCTTCAGAAAGAGACATACCTGCTCACACGGGTGCAAAGAAGCCACATGGGAACGTTGCTGGGGATAGCAGGGTACCTGCACTTTCAAGGAAAGCTGGAATTGCTGATTATTTTTTCAGGATCAAGAAGATCATTTATGTGACCACCTTGGCAGAAGCCAAAAGAGTATCTGATAGCATTTTTGCATGCAACTTCTAGTGAACTAATAATCCAATCTTTTCTATTGATACATAAAATTACAAGTAGTTACGGAGCGCAACAAGATGACTTGATAGATGTATATATCGTGGAAATCCTGATTTGTATATGTGACTTCCCCTGTTTTCAAATGTTGGGAGCTATTTTGGTGTTTGCAAATATTATGTGGGTAAAATGGAATTTATCTGCAGGTCATGGGACCTAGGAGCACTAGTCAAGGGATGTAGATTAGAGGAGAGATCTGGCACCCTCCAGAGCCAGATGGTTAATCAGAATGGCTTCCAGGAAGATAAAATAAGCTCCAGGAAGCTGGAACACCACAGGAGTTCCACCATGAGGGATGGGAAGGGATTGAAGGGTGAAAATGTGAGCCTCCGTGCTCAGTGTCTTGCACACACATCAAGCATGGGCATGGCAAGGTGAGTTCGTTCCCTGGTGCCAGTGGGACCCTGGGCAAGCTGAGGAGGACCTCCCACCCCAGCGACCTCCTTGTCCTTCTCACACCTGCAACAGGTCCCAAATCCCTTTTCAGAAACCCCTAATTCCCAAGTGCTGACGAAGCAAGGGTCTGGCTGGCAGTGGGTGTTTAATTCCCTGGATGGCCAGCTCTGAAGTGCAGCTCAGCTCTGTGGGGACCCCGATCTGTGACAGAGACTTGTGTTTCCTGCAGCTTACCCATGGGTACCACAGAAGGGCACCACTGTGAGCCAAGCATGGGAAGGCATCTGCTAGGAATGTGCAGCCTGGGTCTCTACTCTGTATCTTGCCATTCAAAGACTTCCATAATCCTAGCTCTTGAAACATTTTTAGTCCCCAGATTTCAGAAAACAGACTGTGGTCCTGTATAACCTTGACAGTGCCTCACAGGTGACCAACCACCTTCACGAGCTTCTGAGTACCCCTAGGCCACCTGCCCTTCCACCTGCTTTTTAGGGCTCCAGGTATCAAACCCCCAGCTCAAAGATACTTTGCCTCAATTCGCTCATCTTAAATCTTAAGAAGAGATTCCCTTCTTTCAAAACTGTCCTAATTATGGAAACTTATAAGAACCACTCTATATTTTCTGAGCCCTGACAAATTGAAAAGCTTCTCAATCCATAGTTGAAAATAAACATATAGTTGGTATTAAA